TGCTGTGGGTGACAAAGCCAATCTGACAGATGAAATTTGTTAAAGCAAGATTTTGATGGCATCTCTGCTTCAGAGCTTGACAAAGCTGATCATGGTGCTTCCGTCTACTGTCTTCAAGACCCTTTAACTTAGTGAAACGTCTTATGCCACTCCTTTTGGTTTGCTGCTTGGGTTTCTCAGGTTTTCAGATCAAAGTTGAGATGTTTCAAATATATATTTTTTAATTTTTTTTTGAAGCATTTCACTCCAAGCAAGACAGTAGTGCCACTAGTATGCAAAGGATTACAGAGAATGAAAGCAAGAATAAAACAGGTTGTTTGAGGAAAGGATGTAGTGAAGAACAGGGGTTGGGATCAAGACATCAGAAGATGTTGATTGACATTACATTTGAATATTTGAAGATTATAGCTACCAAGGGAAGCTGGGAGAAGGAAGGAAGTTCCACTGTTGAGAAGTGTGAGAGAAGAAGCTGTTGAGTAGAGACAGTTATATATATATATATATATATATAATAAATTAATTGATTTAAAAATATGTTTTTTTTCACACACAATTCTAACCATGTTTCAAAATGGAAGCTGAAAGTCGAATTTAATTTTGTAATTAAATTAAAGACATTAGTTCCATTTCATCCTCAAGCGAATTTTGGAGTAACTTTTAAAATTACTGGGTTTTAAAGACACAGCAAAAATCATAATTCATGTTTCCAAGGATACAGAGAAATCCAATTCAACCAGACAAGGGTGTTTGGGTGTTCATTATCGCTGTATTTTGATGTATCCGTTATTATTTATGTTTTGGTAGGGGTAGGGATGTATTTTTTAATGAAAACGGACATCCGCTAAAATGCATGTCGTCTGGATTTTTTTAAAATTTTATTGTTAACAGCAAAAATTATTACGGCATTTTTTTCTATTTGTATATTTAAAGATTTGGGGGGGGGCGTTTAGGTTAGAATACATTTTATTTAAGTATGATTTGAAAAATATTTTCACTTTTAATTTTTAATATACTATATTTCTTTTAAGAACAAGTAAATGTATTAGAATCCCTTACAGTATGTAGAATTATAACAAGTATAAGTATGTATATTATTAGGTAACAAATTAAAAATATCTATAAGAACACTGGATAATATATCTTACTGTTCTTTCTTTTTATATATATATATATATATATATATCCAGGTCAAATGAGAACAAATGGAGTATAATTCCACTCTATTTAATTTAAAAGAGGGCTCAATACAGAGTAGAGCTAAATATTGTTTATTTTAGGATATTAAAACATGTTAAAAATCACTACATAATGCCAATTGTGTTTTGACACTACAAATGTGTCTCCTGGGGTAATGTTAAACTATTGGCGAATGAAAGATTAATTTAATTTCAAATGAAAAATATTTAAAAAAGATACTCTTGTGCACTTTGCTGTGATTGACCAACTGAATGGGACTTATGCTAAATTAAAATTCGCTAGAAAAAATTTTTTAATGTAGGTCATGACACAAAGTTGTCTGCATATAAATCCTAGACAATTTCCTGATGGGCAGATACAGGTTGTTACATTATTTTGTAAGATGTATCAATGTCTGATGTTCAGCTTTCGCAAAAAGTGAAATTAGTTATATGCTTGTTCTGGTTCACAACTAAAAGGCCCCTTTAAGAAACTGGTAAATAATATTAATCATTCAAAAAAACAAAAAAAAAACAATCAAAAATACAGAACTACTTTGGCAAATTAATATGCAACCATTTGTTGTATCCTTAAACAGGGTACAAACATACAAAGGTGGTACTTGAGTGAAGTAACAGCAACACATGCATAGATGAAAGAAAGAGAGGTTTATTGTAAAAGAGGATACACTATTGAAAGACAGGGAATCGGGTAGCAGGCTAGTAATTCCCAAAGTCATCCCCAGGTATATCCTGTGCTCACTATATATATAGCCACTGATATAGTCCGTCCACATAGGCGATAGGGAGTGTGGGACATTCCATTACAACACCATTAATTAAAGAGCATCCATATAAGATGTTAATAATACCAACCAAGATGTTAAAAATAATAACTAAACATCAATACAAAGCAATATTAAATCAAATTGAATCATACAAATAGAATAGTAAAACATATAAGGTGCACAACAGTTCATTTACTGATTATTGGTATAAGAAAATGTATATTTAGGCATTCATTTCTTTTATTTTCCCAAGTATTTTCAATCTCATGAAGATTATCTTGGACGAGATTGAAAGTACTTGGGAAAATAAAAGAAATGAAAAAAAAAAAAAAAACTATGGCGCCTTCCTTAATAACAACATTAAGAAATTGATCCGATTAAAATTAAAATAAATAGACATATGAACAGGTTATTTAACCAAACATGCTTGAATATATTTCTGCTTCTCTTGATATTTTGTATTAGCTTTTCAATTGTACGTGTCATTATCTGTCATTTATTCTTTCAGTCACGAATGTCTTACATATATCAGATATC